GTAGCATAAGCATAGCAATGGGTATGTAAAGTTTATGAGGTTTAAATAAAATTACACTAAGGACAATCCAGGCCCCTACCACCCCAAAAGCCCATTTCTCTCCTTCGACACCTTTCTATTTAATATTTTCTGTATTTTAACATTGAGCCCCTGACATTTGATAGAAAGTGGAAAAATATGGAAGATTTACTGCTAAGCAAAGCAAGCCAGACTATGAAAGAGAGGCATTGTATGTCCCCACTCAATATATACCAAATATTGGCATTCTATGGCAGAAATTGAAAGATTGGAAGGTATAAAAGCATGGAGAACAATGGCAATACTGGAAACAGTGTGGGAGGAGGATGGGAAGTGGGAGAGGCTGAAAGGAAAGAAATCAATGGGAAAAAGAAAGAAGCAAAACATTTTAGGGGCACAAAAATGAAAATTTCTCTGTTAATGATAAAGTGTATGGAAATATATTTGACTGAACCAATATACAGTGTATTCACAATGGGAAAATTCACTTGGTATGCTGTAATGATACACAGTGATTGGAGGGAAAATCTAAATTATAGGGGAAAAGAGAATTAAATAAGGAATATTGACATATGTGGTGGCAAAACTATAAGAAAGAGTTAATCCCAAATCTGACTTTGTATTTATCTATGGAATATGCTGTGGACTAACTTCTGAAAATATGAATCCATATAGAATCCATTTTACTCCCTCTGGAAACACTCTTTTTGAATCAGTTAACATGGTTGTGAAAAACATAAAATGTGATGTGACAACATACATGTTTGACCCTATTTTATTAGTTACCACCATTCAGGTTTTTAATTTAGAGTAGCTACATTCTCTATGTTTTTATAATCTTCAGGAATCTAGGTATCCTAAAGTGAGACGTAAAGTCCCAATAAATTTAAAAAATTGCTGTTAGATTACAAATCATCAGTGTTGGTAAAACTTGTATCACTGGAATTCATAAATCCACTGCTACCTTTTTAATAAAGTTGCTAATAGTGAATTACTAATGACTTCTACTCATGCCTCCAAGATTTGGTGAAAAATCTCTAGGATAATGCCTTCTTTCAGCCTTGGGACCTCATTCTACCCTAGCTACTTCCAATTTGAGATACGTTTATTTTTTTGTTCACAACACTGTTTTCTTTGTCTTTCCTTTTTTTTTTTTTTTCTCTTTTTAGAGGTTTTTGCTATAGGGCGCATACACTTGCCAGACAGACAGAGAGAGTCAGAGAAAGCGAGAAATCACTCCCCAGGGGGGATGGTCACGCCACAATCCCTTCTCCTCCATTCTCCTCTCGGGATCTTGGGCATGCACGCACGCGCGCCCGGCGTGAGTTTTAAGCCACCGGGTCTGGGACACCAACCGCGGTCGACTACGTGGGAGTCCAGTGACATAACCATTACGCTAACTGCTGGTTCCCCATAACACTGTTTCTTAAAGTAGTGTAACACAGCGGGGCATATATATATATAAAGTTGAATAAATCTGTTTGATTTTAAGAGGGAATTTCAAACTGTTGAAAAATGGAATTGAAACACAAATTAATTTTGGTGCAAAACATTTTTAAATGCATGTATTATTATTTTAATATGCATTTTCCATAAACTTAAAAGTTATTTTAATTTATTTTATATGTTCGGTCAGTATACATCACTTAGTTTGTAAAGTGAATTTACCCAACATGAAAACACTTGACAACATAAAATTTTTGAAGATTCTTCATAATGAAGCATTTTGAGTTTAGCCTTTAAAAGCCTGAGTATGCTTGATATGTCCAGGCAGTTCAGCTCCTGAGCGGCTGCTCATACTTGCCAAATCAAGGCCGTATCCAGCAGGCCCTGACTAGAAAGTCTGATGAACATCTCTCCAGACTACAAGATGTGTATGGGACCAAACCACAAGAGCTTTACTGCCAAAATCTGCTAAGAGAAGTGTTGCTCTTTTGATAACAAAGGAAACATTCAGCTTCCTTCCTCAGCTTCTATGCCATACTTAGACCATCTTCTGTTTCAACCATCAATCTGCACTAAGCCCTTTTTGAATGCTAAGAAACTATAAATATTTACTCTCTGTAGAAAGGATTCCTCTTCTTTCTTCTTCACTAGACATGAAGATACTGGGATGAGGTGTAAGTGAAGGAACCATTAAAACTTTGCTGGGGTTTTGTTCAAACTCATGAGTCTGTGCTATGTATAAAGTCCCACACATTTAGAGGAAAATTCATCCATTTCTAATTTCACCACTGTAGACATAAATATCTTAATAAGATTAATATATCCCTCCTTTGGGCCAGCAGTTGGCATGGTGATTAAGGTGGGTGGACTCCTGGGACCAGCAGTCAGCGTAATGGCTATACTGCTGGACTCCCATATAGTTAACTGTGGTTCAAGTCCTGGACCTGGTGGCTTAAACTCACATCGGGCACATGTGCATGCATGCCCCAAGATCCCGACAGGAGTATGGAGGAGAAGGGATTGTGGTGTGGCCATCCCCCCTGGGGAGTGATTTCTCGCTTTCTGTCTCTCTGTCTCTCTCTGTCTTTCTGGCGAGCACACGTGCTCTATAGCAAAAACCTCTCAAAAAAGCAAAACAAACAAACAAGCAAAACGGTGATGGACTCCCACATAGTTCAAGTGGCTTGAAAAATCACACTGTGAGTGTGTGCACGCATGTCTCAGATTCAAAGAAGACAGTGGAGGACAGAAGATTGTACACAGCCATTCTCCCTAAAGGGTGATTTCTCATTTTCCCTTATGGCAAAAACTTTAAAAATAAGTACTCCTCCTTGTCCAGAATTTCAATGCAACAGGCAGAACCTCTAAAATATTTCAATCAGTGCATTATTATATACCTTAAAGTATATTGAGTCATAATTCTAAAGCATTAGACAAGTACAAGTCAATGACGACATCCACCAATAATATTTTTTAATTTTTATTTTTAAAGGTTGAACAAGGATTCATTGCAGACATTATAATAACATGATTAGCAGTCTCAAAGATAGAATCAATATTTTTAGAGTACAGATTGAATACAAATTAATTTGAATAGGCACATTTCTTTAAACCAATTGAAGATTACTTTAAAAATTCCATTGAATGTGTGCTGAATTTTTTCTAGTTTTATGGATATAGTCTCAACTAAAGTAATCTTGGCAGAAAACACTTAGAAATTAATGAATCTAGAAACTGGCAACACTGAAAATAGTAAAATATATGCAATCTAATTGTGAATGTGTGTGCATACGTGTTTCAGCTTGATCTGTTTTACCACCTTAATTATTATCCCTTCTTACTGTTTTCTCTTTGGATCTTACCTTACTTAGACTAATTTCATCACTTAAATTTTCTTATCAGTTCTTCTCATCTGTCAGTTTTCTAGTTTTCTGATATTTCCAACAATGCCTTTTATTATGGCTTTAGCAATAAATCTAAATTACACTATAATAAAACCATATTCTATCCCAGTGCTTCTCATAACCTGTCAGAACTTTCATACTTGTCAGGAGTCCCCCTTCATACTTCTGTGATGTGCTGGGGCTTCCAGGTGCTGCTGCTAAAGGGTGAAATATAGATATAACTTCTTCTGTCCATTACTAAGTGTACTGACTATGAAATATGTCATTCTTGCTTCACTTTCTTGTTGCAGTTGGCAAAGCATGTAAAGATTCCAGGTAGATTTATGTCTAAATTGGAAATATTCATTACCTATGAACCATTTTAAATATTTTCAGTCCTTCCTATTTAATCTACCCAGCATTCTCTATTTCCTTCTTGATATGTACCCAGCTTCCTTTCTTCATTAACACCTTATCCTTTAAAGCTCAGTTACACATTTATAGTCTCTGTGTGGTTACTTTGGGACATCTCTGTAGAGTGAGTTCACTATTGCGTATGTTTATTGGAATAACTGCCACTGAAGGTTGACTTCCTAAGAAAGTTTACTGTCTTACTGCCTTAAAATATGATTTTAAGATAAAACTTAATTTTAAGCTTAACTTTGAGTAACTATTATGAAGAAAAATGAATTTTTAAAAGACATGATTTCTACACATTACTTAAATGAGAAATTTTTCTGAAATTCAAACATAGCAAGCTCCATTTGCTCGGCAATGAGGTTCTTGCACAAAGTTCCTCACAACCTTTGGTGTACAAATTTATATTAATGAAGACTACTTCTAAGGAAATAATTTGACATAAAAGTTTGTTTTCTTTTTAAACTACTGCATTTAAATGTCGTTTGAGTTGTAAACACTCAAGGATAAGCCAGTTTTAAGATCACATTATTGTGTCACAGTAACAGAAATGTGAATCACATTTATTTATTTGATTCATGGATTCAGGTTCTCCTAAGTTCTCAACGTTGAGCTACTACACTCTTCATGAAAGTTGTTAGGAAAATCCAAATCTTCATTTCTGGCACAAGATGCCAAGAAATGATGTGCTATCATAAAATCACACATAGTCAGCTGCTTTTGTATTTTGGTTAACCAGGTAGTTTGAAAATTATTATCCCACCAGCACTGTCTTCAGATTTTAGAAGCAGAACCAGAGGGATTATACTGAGGTATACTTTTTGGTAGTTCTGTTGCTTTTCTATTGCCCCAGAACTAACCATGGTATTGAGGATGGATATGAAGAAATTATGCTTTTCATCAGGTAGCAGTTACCATAGATGACCAAACGTCACCTATCTATGGCGTCTATAATGTATTTGGGTAAAGGAATAGCATAATTTTCACTACTCTAATTTTGCATAATTAAACATATAATGTATATTGTAGTTCTTTCAAAATCTTTTCATTGCTTTACTTATAACATTAAGTCTCAGCACATGAACTTTCTGTTGAAATATTTTTAGATTAATTTTTGATTTTACAGAAATAGCAACATAAAAAACAAGTATTAGAAATCAAATGTTTTTTTGTTATGTTTCACTGTTTTTGCTTAATAACTGAAGGAAAAGTTTTACATAATCTAGAATTGGGCAAATATTGAATGCTGTTGGCCAGATAATTTTGATAAATCAATCTGTTCTTGGGGGTAGAATTTGACGCCTGCTTTAAAGCATTTTTAAAAAATTATTTCTACAGTACATGTATATAGGAGTACAGTCCTGTATTCAGGCTTACAAGTATATGATCTGGCAGTTGGTAAAAACAATTATTGCACATCTTTAGGGGTTCTGAGGAAAATCAAGCATCTAAGGCTTTCTTCCTTTAGTCTTACCAGAAGAAAACCAGCTTAATATGGGGTGGAAAAAACACAACTGGTCTCTAACTGTGGGCTTGTCATGGAGCAGTGGGGAAATTAATGACTTTCTCCCCTTTAGCACTGTAGTTTTTTCTGGGCATTCCAGATTGTTCCACCATAGCCCAGATTCTAAACTATTTCTTAAGACTCTTGTTTCATGATCTAACCTTTGGTGCTTTATATGAAAAATCATATATAGTTCCAAAGTCTTTATATGACTTTGGGAAAATTTAAATATGGTTTGTTGATGTTTTTTATTTTTGAACAAATTGCTGGCCAATTTTTTTCAAAGCTTCTTATAATCTAACTATATCAAGTTTCTTTACTCCATGTTGTAAAATCTGAATACAGATACTGTCCACACTGTCCAAAGACTAAAGTTTGAATTCACAGTAACAAAAGTTACAAAAGTTTGTGCAAAAGATATTGTACACCACTGGAGTACATAGAGCTTGCTATAGTTCATTTTATATATAAACTTGCATTTCTTATTAAAACTACTCTGTGCTACATTAAAAGTTATGTTTCTGATTTAATTTTTCCCTAACAATATAGTTGAATGCTCATTTAATCTCAGAAATCTGAAGATGCAAATTGTATATATATGATGTTCATAAATGTTATCACAAATCATTGGAACCTTTTAAACACCATAATTGCTTTGAAGCTCTTCAAGTTTTCCAAGGGTCATAAAGTAAACCCGACTGTGGCGATTGCGCAGGGTAGAGGTAAAAAACAGCTTTAAAGAGAAAGACAGACATTATTGTTTTATATTTAATACATTGTAACCAGATGACTTATAAGTACAAATATGTAATTATAATTTCAATTTATCTGCATCTGATAATTAAAATATTAAGTCATACTGGTCCTTAGAACAGATTCTCTTCAAATTAAAGAATAGGAGTTTAAGTTAGTTTGGAATCTAAATTATATACTTAAAAATAACCTTTTACCATATTCTATATAATTATAATTTATATGGTTTAAATAAAATTAGTTTTCTTGTGGTGGAATTCATCTGCAGAAATGACATTCATCTGCTAAAGTGTTTGATTAGTTTTGGTTAACCATTATTTGATTTTAAAACAAACTACATTTACAGTATTTATTTATTTATTTATTTATGCCATAGGGCATGTGTGCTCACTGAGAAAGACAGAGACAGTGAGAGAGAAAATGAGAAATCAACCTCCAGGGGGAGAAGCCACGCCACAATCAATTCTCCTTCTGGGATTTTAAGCAAGCATACACACACATCCTGCGTGACTGTCAAGTGGCCAGGTCCAGGACTCAAACCAGATTGGCCATGTGGGAGGCCAGTGCCTTAACCATCATGCCACTGGCTGGCTCCTACTTTTCTTTTAATGTAAGGAAACAATTAAACTATGTAGATGTTTATCATTGCTGCTGGTATTTAAGCTACTCAAATTTTCAATTTGATGTGATTTTTTTTTTATTTCAGTGAAATGAACTACTGTCAACAGACAGTTAAACCCAGTAGCTTAAAGAGGGACATGCTGCAAAAATATGGGCTATGTCATGGAGAAAATTTAAACAGAACGTGGATGTAAATATCAAACAGAGGCATCCTTGTTAGGACTAAGGAGTTAGACATCCATAATGGCTAAATTAAGGAGCATTTGCATCTTAATAATAATGAAAAAAATAAGATACACTAGCTATTGCTGGCTTAACACATTTTATATGTTAGGCCAGCTGTGAGATGCTTCCATGTATACATTATTACTAATTCACACAATTAGTAATCTGTTTTAGATATGAAAAATCTCAAATTAAGAAAGTCAAACTTCTCAGGTCCTTACACCTACTTAAGTGGAAGAGCCTGGACTGCAACGTAGGTGTATCTGACATCAAACCCTGGTTCTTACCATTACATCTATTTTTCCTCCCTCAATATGATTTATTTATTTCTTCTGAGAGAGAGGGAAAAAAAGCTTATTTTTCAGGCACTACTAGTGTAGTCCCTACACTATAATCATCACCAATCTCTGCTGGTAGGAATCACAAGCATGCAGGTACACATCTCACATTCTCAGGGAGGTCCTGGGATGCAAATCCAGGACTTATCCATGTAAATCCAGCTGTGTTACCACTGCAACACCTCCTGACCCCCATTACAAATCTCTTTACATTGCAAATTATTAATAGTAAATTTCCTTGATGTATAGTGCTTTACCCTGGTTATCTTGATATTAACTCAAATCCTCTGCAATTGCTTCTAAATGGGAATGTTTTCTAATCTGAGGGTTATCTTCTCACATTAAATTCTTGTAATTTGTAGGAATGATAATAATTTTATATAATGAGTTTTTCCATCTAAACTATTTATATTAGTTGTTAAAATTAATGAAATTACACAAATAATTTCAAAATATTTATTTTATATTTCTTTCCTGAAAAATGGACATCATAATACCCACTTGCAAAGCTAAATTGAGACACCTTTTGAAAATCCTATCACAAGGCCTACCATGTAATTAAGTGCTCAACAAACATACATACTTTCTCCTTCTGATACTGGATTATGTTGAAAGCTCTGAAAGGCAGGTTTGCTCAAGCACTTTATTTAAAGATATTTTAATATGAACATCAACAAGACTATGGGTCAAAGGCAATATAGGACACCAGTGCATGACTTGGTGGTTGTGGTGGCTGTATTCCACATGGTTGACCGTGTGGTTGGAGTCCCAGGCATAGCAGCTTGAAGGACATGTCAGGTGTACTTGCAACGTAGGTGTATCTGACAGATCCCATGGGGAGGGGGAGAAATGGAGAAAAAGGGATTGTGGTGTGGCCATGCCCCATGAAAGATTGTTTTCTTGCCTCCCCTTCCCACCTCTACCATCCCCATCTCTTTCTGGTGAGCACATGCCATCTCTCTAAAATTAAAACAAGACAAAAGAAAATAAAGAATTTTGCACCAAATAAAATAATGACTAAGCTTAAGATAGAATTTTGGGCCAGTTACAGTGGCATAATGTAATGCAATGCTCAGCAAAGCTGAACCCACATGGGAATGTCCTGGGTTTGTGTTCCAAGGCCTCCCTATACACACCAGTATTCCTGGCTGGCTAAGATTGAGGCTGAGACTGGGCCTGGACTGCGATGTGAAGACTCAGTTTGAGATCTTTCCCTTTATCTCTTAAAATAATATAAAATTGCTTTTATCATAAGTATGCCAATTTGAAAAATATAGCACAAATATACTTATGGTAAGAAGAAAAGGGCATAAATTTCTTCAGTTAGTTAATTTTCAATGGCTGCATTATTTTTGCTCTAACTAGAGGGTATAAGCTATACCTTGTCACCTCGGGTACAAAGAAATCTTAGCTTCTTAATTGACCTGCGCTTCAGCTCACTTTCCAGAATTCTTGATTGCAAAGAGCGCACTTCAATAGCCTTTTGGCCCCATCCTGTCGTTCGCTGTGTACACTCAAAAGCTATGAGACAAAAGAAAAAAATAGAAAAACACAAAATTTTCCCAGAAGTGATAGAAAATTATAGCCACAGTCAATTTTTGATTATTTAGAAGCTCATTGTTACAGGTGAAGTTAACATAGCCTTTTTCCCTCTTTCTATGGTCAGTCATCTGGCCATTTTCTCATTCAGGAGTGGTGTTAAAACCAGCTATCTAAAGGCACCATTGTGATCAACAGTGAACCATTAAATCTCAGTTCATTCTTGTACTCATATCCCCTAAGGCCAGAGAAAAAGTCAAGGATTAATTCTACCCTGTTTGTAGAAATTCTAATCTATCTACAGCCATTCTTTATTTTATAGTCTAGGTGAGGTACAGTATTTCTAATAAGGGTTTTTAATAAAGGTTTGTATTGGTGCTCAAATGACATACATGAAACCTGGCTCTTAAAAAATTAAAACTGTTAAAAATCACTTGCTCAAATAATGACTTTAGCAACACTAATGCAATTCAATAAATTACCTTTTTATAAGCAGAACTAAAACTAATTTAATACTGTTAAGGCTTTCTTCTGCTCAGGAATTTTTCATTAAGATTTTAACTTTTTTGGCCCTGCTTTATAATACTTTATAAAAATATAGATTATGACAATAATTGCCTTAAAGCACAAAACCTAATTATGTAAATATCCATACAGTTAGCTGATTTGGTAAGGTACTTTCTGGTACAGGGACCTATATTATCATTAAATTCAACTTTTCAGGGTCAGCCTGTGGCCTGGTGGTTAAGGGAGATGGATCCCACATAGCCAACAGTGGTTTTAATACTAGCCTTGGAGGCTTGAAAAATATACCAAGCATGTGTGTGTGCATGCCTTAAATCCTGACAGGATTGAGAAATGGAGGAGAAGGGTTCTGTCCATGTATGCCATTCTTTCTCTGGTGATCACAATCACCCTCTGGCAATTTTAAAAAAAGAACCTAAATTAAACCTTTCAAGTTGATTGATTTTTTTTATTTACATTTTTTTATTTCATTTTTTTATACATTCAATCACATTATTTAGCTTACAAAGTGAATATTTCAACATGTGAACATTTCTCCCTAATCCAGTTGATAGACATAGTAATTAGTGTGAATGGACAGCCCTGAGAATAGGAAAATATTTTTGTAAACTATGCATCAGATAAGGGACTGATAATCAGAATATACAAGGAACTCAAACAGCTGTTCTGAAAAAAGATGGTCAACCCTACTAAAAGATGGGAGAATGAGGTGAAACAACCACTCTCTAAAGATGACATACGAATATTCAAAAGACATATGAAAAAATGCTCAGCATCCCTCATTGTAAGGGAAATACATATCAAAACAATGAGATACCACCTAACCCCAGTCAGAATGAATAAGATAAAAAAAAAATGATAAGTGCTGGTAGGGGTGTGGTGAAAGGGGAGCTCTCTTATACTGCTGGTGGGAATGTAAATTGGTCCAGCCACTGTGGAGAACGATTTGGAGATTCCTTCCTCAAAGATCTACAAATACAATTGCCATATGATCCAGCAATCCCACCGCTTGGTACCAAGTTGATTTATAAATTTACTTTATGGGGACGAAATTTTCATAAATAAAATCCTGACATTTAAAATAATCTCTTTAAAAAAAATTGCCAAGAGGGCATGTGTGCTCACCAAAGAAAGTGAGAAAATATTCTTCATGGAGCATAGTCACATTCCAATCCCTTTTCCATTTCTGCTTCCTTTTGGGATTTTGTGTATGCACACAGATGTGTCTGATACATTTCTCAGTCTGCCAAGTCCAGGGCTCAAATCATGTGGTTTTCTGTGTGGGATACACCTTCTTTAACCACCAGACCATGTGCTAGCCCCTAAGATTTTAACTCAATCTAAAATAGTCTAAAAATACCAAACTAAAATACTTTGATTCTTATATTAAGATGATGAAGATCAGAATTAAATGAATTAATTTGACTTTCTATTTTCCATTATTATAAAAGAAACAAACTCTAGATGTTACAATATAGGTTTTCCAATTGTTTTCTTATCTTTCTCAGATTCTAGAACAACTTTGTTTAATCTAAAACTTTCCTGGGCTGTATATGTATAACATGAAAAATATATAGGGACCAGCAGTTAGCATAATGACTATGTTGCTGGACTCCCATGTAGTCGACCATGGTTCACGTCCTGGACCTGATGGCTTGAAACTCACTCTGGGTGCGTGTACGTAATGGCTAGTTGCTGGACCCCCACGTAGTCAACTGCAGTTCAAGTCCTGGACCCAGTGGCTTAAACTCATCCCGGGTGTGTGTGCATGCGTGCCTAAGATTCCGAGCGGAGAATGGAGGAGAAGGGAATGTGGTGTGGCCATTCCCCCTGGGGGGTGATTTCTCGCTTTCTGTCTCTCTGTCTCTTTCTGTCTTTCTAGCAAGTGCATGCACCCTATGGCAAAAACCTCTCAATATATATATATTTCATTATAATTTAAAATATTTATGTGTATGAAATTGACATCAGGAATTGTAATTGAATTACAATCCTATTTTGGCTCAGAAAAATGGCTTCCTGGGGAGGAGACTTTATAACTCAAATTTCAGACTAGGATTAAAATACCCCAAATATAAGGGAGATAGGGAGAATCATTGACTTGAATGAGAGGGACAAATAATAGACTTAGTTTATTTGGATTTGAATTTTTTCATCCATGTAATTATATCATTAAAAATGATATATTTTTTAAAAACGGTATTTTTGTCAACAACCAAACAACCATAGAGAACAAGGATTTCTTTCTTTCATTCATTCTTTCTTTCTTTCTTTCTTTCTTTCTTTCTTTCTCTTTCTTTTTAATTTGCTAAAGGACACGTATGTTTGCCAGGGAGAGACAGAGAGAGAAATCAGGAAAGCACCCCCCCATAGGACATGGTCACACCAAAATCCCTTCCCCTCTATTTCTCCCTCCTTTTCAGGATCTTAGGTGTACATACAGAGGCACTCAGCATGGTTCTCAAACTGTCAGGTCCAGACTCAAACTATGTGGTTTATCACATGGGATTTGGCTGCTTTAACTGCCAGATCACCAGCTGGCCTCTGAACAAACAGTTTTAAACTTAATACAGAGGTTACTTCCTGAGCCAGGCAGTAATCTGGCAACACGTAATGTCTACCTTGGTCTTGAATCAAACAAGCCTGTCAATGAACATAGCTACTTAGCTAGTTTGCTTTCTGAGCTGGGATCGAATATTTGGAAATAGGAACACTTACAAATACTTGTGATTGTTAAGCCTCTATCTGTTTGGAAATACAAAGCCATGACCTTATTGAAAACATTTATTATAGCTCAAGGAAATATACAATTTATATTGTGAGCATCTAAATCTAGGTTACTTTTAAATAACAATGCAATTGTTTTTAGACACAAAAAAATGAGTAATTTATTTCCTTAATACTAGTGTTACACTGTAGTCTTTAGTATACTCTTAAATTAGCCTTAATACCCAAACTAAAATGTTGTGTTCTGATAGAGTTATAGTTTATTTCACATATAGATGTCTTTGAAATTCTAGGAACTTAAAATAGAGTTTTGTTTTGGATTAGAAGTTGTCCAGCCTAGGGACAAGGGCTCTATCAAATGACTTCTCAAGATCCTTTTGAATCCTGTGATTGTCAAATGGCATAAATATAGGGGTCATTCAGTTTTACATTTAAACTAAATGTCTCTATTCCTATTTCTGATTAACATATTGATCACAAAGGTACCACTGTCAAGGTCAGGATATGAATCATTGTTTTTACTATTTTTTGCCCCAAATCTGTCAGTTGTATTGGAAGCATTAGCTTTCTGTCACTTAAAATAGTCTAAAACCCTCTGTGAGTTCTTACCTGTTTGAAGAAATTGGAGCAGGTTTTCAGGACATTCCTTAATACTGACTATGCATGCAAAAGGAAAGGGATTCTGCAGATGCAATGCAATGTGCCATTATCCCACACGAAAACAATATTCATTAAAAAGCACTTCTTTCAAACTGGTCCTTAAGGTCATATGAGGATCACATTTAGCCATTTTTATAGAGATTTCAGAGGTTTCTGGCTGTTCTCTTGAGATATACATACACATACACACACAACCCACACATACACACTCCTACATTTCTCTTTTATTCGCTCCATTAAACTCCTTGTTTCAGGAATACTTATCTTCCATCTACTCTCTCTAATATTCTTACTTTTCATATGTACTTTGTTTTCTATGTAGAATTACCTCTGTAGTTACCAAGCCTCAGGAACATACATAAGATTCTTATATTATTTGGATTTCCCAGCTCAAAAGTCCTGCATTAATTAGGAAGAGAAAATGTCCTGGTCTGATGAAGATGAAAAGGAAATTTTCTTTATGATGCTATCTGGGTGGTATCTAATAGGCATCCCAGTCTGTCATATCTATCTCTTTTTGTAAATGATTCGCTCGTTCACAAGTATATCACTCAGTAAATAGAACAGGATTGACTATACAAAAATAGAAATATTTTGCTTTTGTTGTCATAATGATTCTTTACTGAGATAAAGGTAATCCTCAAAATCAATGTGATGTAAAGAAGCATTTTCAACATCTACATAAAGTTTGCATCAAAGGAGTTAAAATAAAATGATAGATTCTTGAGGAAAGAAATTAGCTCCCATTTCCATTATGTAATTATTGCAAATAAACCATTAGAATCATCAAAATCATTCTCTTGGTACTCCTGTGAATCCATTAATCCTACAACAAGCACATGCATCACTTCACTAAAGGAGTAAATAACACAAGACCCCAAATCAATACTATGTGTCTTGGGAAAATGCAGTAATTCAGAAAACATTCTCTTAGCATGTATATTTTACCCTTAAAAAATTTATCTGGGATCATCTGAAAGAGTAAGACATTTTATACATACCTGCAGACGACGGTACATCTTTCCACACTTCAAGGATCTTCTTGAAGAGCTGTTCATTTGCTTCCATAGAGAGGGCTTCAGCATTGAAGGTGAGCATCATGCCAATTCCCAAGCAGTCAGGTAAAATGATGATATTCTGTGGTATAATGATTTCCAGGGGCTGGAATTATGTTTCATAAAGATTTATATGTCCAACATTTTATCACTACTACTTTAATCAAATCAGATTGGCTGAGTAATAAAGACCAAAAGAGGTTCAAAGTTCAGGAAGGAAGAGAAACCTCTGTTTCCAGATTGAACAGAATGTTACCCAGAACTTGAAAAGAGCTGCTTTCCATGTCATAAATTCATCAATGTTTAATATTCTCCTTTATATTTAGAAGAAAGTTTTGTTTGAAAAAAGTAGGGATATATTTACAATACTGAGAAATTTCTTGAAATTTCATGAAGTATCATGTATAGCGATAGGAGAAATATTACTTGTTATGGACTTGGATTTAAGATTAATTTCAGCATATTAGCTAATACTTTAGCAATAAACATGCAAATCAGGTTAACAAATACAGAATACAGGGCTGTCAGTCAATTCATTCGAATCAGAAATTTAAAGTATATAACCTAAAAATAGCTTGATCTTAAAATGCTTACAAGTAGCATCTTCAGAATATTCTTCACAGCATGAAATACAATAGTCATCATCTACCCCTTCACAAAAAATGTAGGATTTCATATCCAACTTATATAATCTTAAGATATATTTGATATACAAATTTAGAGATGCTTTAGGTTACATAATATGAAATAGCTAAGCATTTCTAAATTTTATGGTGCATAAAACAATAGTTAAAAATTTGTTCAAACTACAGGTATGTCATATTAACAGTATTTTCCTGAGAAATGAACAACTGTGTTCCTCTATCATTTCTTCAAGTTAGCAAGTGATAGAAACAAAAGGTCAAAAACTATACTTGCCAAACCCAGCGTACTCAGGCCAAGTGCTTGAGGCCATGTCTCAGCAACAACAATTCTTAAAACTAAAATAGGGATCCAGAGGCGAAAAGCAATTTTAATGCGTTCCCTGGTCACTTGCATGAGCAATTGAATCAGAAAAATAGATGAAAGAAGAGAGCAAAAGAACTTGCAAGAAAGATGGTTGTCTCAATAAAATGGTTTTAGAATAAAACTGAACTGCTGCAAAACCAGACAGCCTCAGAGGTCATTATCTTGCTTCTCAAATGATTCCTGAAGTAACCAGATATGCTGTAGCACACATGGTTCCTTGTAGTATGAGAGCTTTTGTAATCTAGCACTCTTGGAAAAACATTATTTTTAGCACCTTCTGTTTCAGAAGACACCCTTCCTTCCCTTATATTAGAGTCCTTTCTCTTTTAATAGGCCAAGACACTAGGGCATTTAGTTAAAAATATTTTGGAATATACATACAGCATCATAAGTAGGTCAGAAAATGATTTTGAAAAACTCATTTTTCTCTCATTCTAGCTTCCACAGTAAGTACCAGATTGCTTTAAAAGGAAATACTTTTCTTTGCTTATTACTCAGGTGGAACACAAAGTTCAACCATCTTGAATGGCTATTCAAATGCGTCAATTCAGACAATGTTCATTCCTGTTAGGTCAATGCTGTCATGTTCAATTCTGTGCTAGTTTTTAAATAAGAACTATCTGTGGCCATGATTAAAGGTTTCTACATTATGAACGGTGATTTCTATATAACCATAAGGAAAACTGAGTGAACAGCTAGATTGCTAATATGATCAAAATGTTTTTAAGTTTGTCTTTGCTAGTGTTCTGACAATCACTCTATGTAATTTGTTAAGAGATGTATAATATAGTTTTTAAAACTGTTCAAAATACCATATGACTAAAGAAATTTAAAAGTACACAGGGTTGACTTCATGGCCTAGTCATTAGGGCAGATGAATCCCACATGGCCAATCGTGGTTTAAATCCCAGTTCTTGTGACTTGGGAAACATACCAGAAACATGTCCATACATGCCAAAGGTCTTGAGGGGTGGAGAAATGAAGGAGAGGGAATTGTGGCATGATCATATTGCATTAGATGGTGTTTTCTCTGTCTTCCTCTCTCTCTGTCTATCACTGGCTAGTGCACACACCCTCTGGCACAAAAAGAAAAAGTACATAAAAGTTCTCTCCTGTAAGTTTTGTATAATCGTAAACTTAAAATTTTAACTGTCTATGAACTAGAAATCAAGAAAAGGAAGCAGAAAACTGTTACTTCAGGTCTTCCTTTCAAATGTAGTCATCAATAAGACAAATATTGCCATCATCAAATTTGAGAGAGAGTAGAATTATGTTTTTATGATAGATGAGAGGGGATATTAGGTGTAGCATTTTTACAACTATCCATATTTTAGATGTTGTGCCATATTTTTACGACTCATAATTAGTTAAGAGTCGAGGTATATTTCCTTTTAAAATGCTGAATCATTTGATCATAAATTCCAGTTATTGATATAATTGGTATGGTAAGAGAACAGTTTACAGTAATTTGCCACACATCACAGTTAAAGTAATACAATAAAGCAGGGAGGATACATACAATAATATTGCAAGACTGGTCTTATATTTTTAAAAAATCTGTTAATGTATTATATCATAGGGTACAGAAGGACTATAGCAAGGATTGCAAACTCAAATGCCTCCTAGGGCCAGTTACTCTAAATGTATAAAGATGGATGAATAGGGAATATAGTGTATATATCCCATCCAAAAGAGGACAGGAAAAAATCAATTCCAGTTGATAATGACCAGATAGTAATATGGTCCTGATGTCAAGTTTTCTGCTTTATTAATAGAAGACAAGATTTTTTACGTGTATACTCTACCCATTAAAATAAAATGAAGAAAAGAGACACCGTGCCAGACAAACAAAATCTATGAGCAGAATACACTCAGTCATCTGAATTAAGAAACCATCAGTGGTTTTTGTTTATGCATGATCACTTCCTGGCATTTTGTACCTAGTTTTAGGTCTCGGTCCAATATAGACATTGCTAATCATATTGTTAAACCTTTTATAGCTTTTACAGAAAAACTCAAATGTGATGTACAATCATTTCTAGGAATCTGAAGATATTATCTTACATTATTTGGTAGGGTCACATCAGACATAACCTCAGATTCTGCATCGATGATGTGATATCCATTTGCTGAGCTGAAGAAAATCTTTAGTCTTTTTTCAGAACCAATAGCCAAGTCAACTGTCACAGGCTTATGACCAAGTGTTGGAAATACCTGCAAATATAAAATCAAATTTGGCCAAAAAGCCAAAAATGACACTCTTACAAAGACGAAAATTCCTCCATTTTTTGCCATGTTGACAAGCCCATAAAACATAAGTGGATTTTTTAAAATGGCATATTTTACTTAGAAATCTATGTATTAAACTTTTCTTAGGTCTATTACTATAACAAAGACATAATTATATTCAGTTTCTAAATATTGAGTTTCTTTTCACAAGCCAAATTGCCCATGATCAAAAAGTTTTGTATGGCCCTGCACTCTTGTTTGCTGTCTTTAAATTCCTTGCCTTAAGCTTCAGCAAATGAAGAAGCTCATCTGGTCTCTTAAACCGGTTCGCTGGGTCAGCTGCCTGTATTTTTGCCAGTATTCGTACATAGGCTTCATAGGACATGTAGTCTCCTTCGGAATCTGCTGATTGATCAATGCATACTTGGTAGGGAATGAAAAAGGCCAGACATGTTAGCCTACCATAGACTGGATGTACTCTAGGCTACCATGGTTTCTAGTCCAAGGAAACAAAAGGCCAAACAGGGATTCATTGCTAAGATCAGGTCACAGTAGAAGACTAAACATCACAGGATTCACCGTACTGTAGTCATGAGATGGGATTCAAGAACTGGAGTAAGGATTTGGACCAGGAACTATGTATCAGACTAGACAGACTGTTGGTATTTATCTCTCTGCTTTCCAGCTCCATACCAGGCAGCTCTGACCAATCAGCAGACACCCAAGAACAAACCCATATCCAAATGCTGACAGCTGACTCAAGGTCCAATTTAGGGAGATCAGATCAGAGATGTGATTTGTGTCAGAGAAGACCCAAACCGTCTATGTAATAATCTGTGATATTTATAAAATAACATAATTATTGGGCAAATTGACATGGACTGCAAGTTCTAAGGATTAGCCAATTGTATTGTATACATATGATATTTTGTTCTACAAAACATACCATCTCAACAGATCCTGACCTAAGACACAAAAGTATTTCATGGATACCTTTCTGGGGTATATCAGGATATGTCTTTATCAATTCTTGGCAAAAAAAACCCATCCATAGACCAACTACTTTAATAACATATGGAGCATTTGCTAAAAATATAGACTCTCAGGCCCCACTCCAGACCCACTAATTTAGCCTGGGGTCGGGTCTGAAACTAAGTTTTAACAAATGCTCTAGCTAATTCTGATATGCATCCCAGGTTAGGGACTCCTGGACTTGATAGGAATAAATAAAAATTAATCCTACTCAAGTGAAATTCTGGAATATTATAAATAAACTACTCTTGATTTTAAAAAACAGTCCTCAACTTATGAAATGTGATTTAAAAACATCATCTATAGCTTAATGGGTTGGGACACTAAATGGTTACCTTCTATGGCTAATCCATAAAAGTTCAGTTATACCATAATAAAGGTGGGAAGAGTACTGGCAAGCCTAACTTTGCTATAATTCCAATAATAAACATGTTTAAAATTCCAGCTTGGAAGGAATATAGGTCCACCTCTTTCTTCCTCACTCCATCTATCACATCCCTGGCAATCAGAAGAGACTTCTCTCTTTTCCTCTTCTAGCTTCCCCCCTGAAAGCCTTTTCTTATATTCCCTCTAGTCTCTGTCCCCCACAATTAAGAGAGTCTAGGGAACTTTTCTAAGCTTATAGTCACTAGGGTGGTACTCAAAGCCTTTGCCTAGGGATCTAGAATAGAAGATCTTCATGTTAACTATAGGAATTGGGAGTGAGGAGCTGGAAGGAAGGTCCTATAAGAGGAAGGGTCAGGGATTTTCCACACATTCTCCCTTGCTGTTGTGCCCATGACTTGTCTAAAGAAGGGTTAAATGGTAATTATTGACATAGTATGTTCAAAATACATTAACTATAGAAAAATGGTTTATTTTTCTGCATGTGTATTCTATCATACTGACTTGTTTATACTTTCTGGACAAAAGAAAAACTATGTTCCAAAGGAAAAGATCACTCACTTTAATTGCAGTGCTTTCATCAAAAGACTTTGGTGCCCATGCATAAAGGTGAATTGATGATTTCAAAGCAATTGCAATATAAGTTGTTTCTTCATGTTGGACTACAATGACAAAATACAAAGAAATAACAATGCCACAGAGTTAACAACATAGAAGTATCTGTATATGTCATCAAAATGTCATAATCATAATTTAAGAGCACAGACATATATATTTAGAAAAGCTACTTAATCACAATTTGATGCCCCCTAAAGGTGACAAAATTACTGCATAATTTGATGGAGTGCATGCATTAGCCATCAACAGCACTCTAATAGTATACTGTAAACTACAGAGCATTGATGAAAGAAATTAAAGAACACCTAAATAGATGGAAAAGCTTTTCCCATTATGGTTGGGTAGACTTTAACATTGTTAAGATAGCAATACTATCCAAATTGACTTCTACAGATTTATTGCAAGTCTAATTAAAATTCCAATGACCTTTTATTATAGAAATGGAAAAGCTGACCCTAAATGTGACATGGAATTGCAAGAGGCTTTGAATAGCCAAAACAACCTTGAAAAGAAAAATCAAACTTGGAGGATTCATATTTTCCTATTGCAAAACTTACTTGAAGTTATAGTAGATAAAAACAATATGGCACTGACATAGATATAGGCACATAGATCAATGAAATAGAACTGGCAGTCAACAAATAAATACATGCATGTATGATCAATAGCATACTATTCATTAGGAAAAGAACAAGTCTTTTTAACAAATGGCACTGAGACACCTGGCTATACACATACAAAACAATGAAGTTGGACCTCGTACTTCACCCCATATACCAAAATTGACACAAAATCCATTGCAGATCTCAATGTAAGAGCTAAAAAAATGTAGATTTTTTTAACTTATGAGAGAGAGAAAAAGACAGAGATAGTGAGAGGGAAAGTGAGAAATCACACCCCCCCTCCGGGGGTGTGGGGGGTGAGGGCAGCCATGCCACAATCCTTTCTCCTTCATTCTCCTACCGTGATCTTGGGAATGCATGCACATGTTCCCAGTCTGAGTTTCAAGCTACCAGGTCCAAGACTTGAACCATACTTGGCCATGTGGGAGTCCAGAGATGTAACTGCTATGACATCTGCTGGTCCCAAGAGCTAAAATTGTAAAATTCTTGGAATTATACATAGAGATAAATCTTGATGACACTGAATATGGCAATGAATTCCTATAATTGACAACAAATGAATAATGATAGAAAAAAATAGACATATTAGGTTTCCTTGAAATCAAAAACTTTGTGCATCTAAAGAGACAACAAGAAACCAAAAATATCACTTATGGAGTGAGAGAATATATTTTCCAATCATATAAGTGATAAGGATCAAGTATGCAAAACATTTAAAGAATGCTTATAATTCAACAAGAAAAGGACAAACAAACCAATTTAACAATAGGCAAAATATTTGAATAGACAATTTTCCAAAAGTGATATACAAATGGTCACTAAACACATGAAAAGGTGCTCAACAGCACTAATCATCAGGTAAATACAAATAAAAACCACAGTGAGAAACCAACTAGGATGGTTAGAATTGAAAGATAGACATCTACAGTGTTGTCAAGTATATAGACATTATGGAGCTCTCATACTTTACTAATGGAATGTGAAATGGTGCAGACACTATGATAAACCATTTAGCAGTACTATCTAAGAGTAAACAGACCTATCCACATGTGAAAATACACACAAAAACATGTTCATAGTAACATTATTCCTAATAGCTAAAAAGTGTAAAGAATGCACATGTTTGTTATCTTATATATAGATAAACAAAGGGTGATATATATCCATATAATGCAATGTTTTTCAGCAGTAAAAAGAAAGGGAGCACTGATACAACTTGTGTAGGATACAGCATGGATGAACCTTGAAAACATTATACTAACTGAAAAAAGCCTGTGACAAAAGGCCACATAATATATGGTCCCCTTACATTGATTGTCCATAGGAGGCAAATATATAGAGAAGTAAAGTAGATCAATGGCTACCTAGGACTGTGAAGGAAGGAAGGAAGGAAGGAGAAGGGAAGAGAAATGGATTGGGAATTGACTGCTGGTGGATATGGGTTTTCTTTAAGGATGATGAAAATCAGATCATGATAATGGTTGCACACTTTATAAGCATATTAACCAATGACTTATGAACTTTAAATGAATGCATTCTTATGTAAATTATTTAAATCAGGCTATTTTTAAGAGAAAATATTAAAATATGTTCTTGCTTTCATCTAATCCTTTTGGTCCATACGGAATATGTTATCTTACCTGATAGTGCTACACTTTGCACTAAAATCCCTTTTCCTTGAGTAAAATTTTATTTCTATTCTCTTTAGCTAGTCTTCCCACACCCCCTTGTCTGAGACTAGCTTACTCTCTTTTTGGGGTGATTGTTCCCAAATAGGTCAAAGGAGCAAAATTAATGAACTCCTTACCAACAAAGGAATTCTCTATTAAGCATCGATTTCCTGTACATTTAATATAGGGCAGCAATTGGTGCCAGTTCATTGTTTGTGGATCTTGGAAGACTATGAAAACACAATGCAATTATGACCCCTTGTTGTTCTACTGTATGAAGATATTACATATTCACTTGTCAGTGGGACCAATGTTTTTGGTTGTTGTGAGACTTGGAGTAAATTGGAATAGGGCCAGAGAGGAAAGCTGGATTTAAACTAGTCCATACCTTACCAAGAATGCATGCTTGCTAGATGAGTATCTATAAAACTATCACTTATTGAGCTAAAATTTTACAAGTTGGTAAGAGATAATTCTGCTATCTAAACTCCTGGGTTAATATCTGGGACTATTTTTTTACCTCTAGGGCTATGAAGTTTATATAATATGATTTGGAGGGTAGTAATGATACTGGAATTAGAGGAGAAAGTAGTATGTTTAATGCTTAAGTTTTCTGAGTACTCATTTCCCCCTTCAATTGTACATGTGTCGATACGCACATACGTACGAAAACCCATCCTAGGAAAGCCACTTTACATGTAGGACAAAAATGGTCATTTAGGATAGAAATATCCTGTTGCAATTCATATAATGTAATTCCAGCTGTCTCCCACATGTGCCACCAGTTCTAGCTGAAGGGGCAATTAGTGAAGGGAGAAAAAAGAAAAATGGGTAAGAGTAGAGGGAATTGGCTTCAAAAATAAAATGGAGTGGATTGACATTACTTCATAGTTTATGACAGTTAACAGCAAGATTCTGAGCCCCTGAAGTTGTTACTACATTTCCTAGAGGATGATGGTGAAGAATCAGGGGATATGAAAACTTGAATCAGACAGAAAATAGTTTGTGATTATATTAATGAATATTGACAGTGGGAGCAAGAGTCAGCAGAACATAGAAGAATTTTATTTTTGATTCATCATAAAGTTTTCTTGCCAATATTATATTAGGAGGAATTCATTTTATTGTTCTTCCAAAGAAAGAGAATATTGTCTGAATCTCTTCAAGACAGTGAAGATACATAAAATCAAGAATATTTACATAGTCAAAGCTGTCTAGAGGCAAGAAAAAAATACTGGTTTATCCCTAATATTCAGTGGGACTGGAAAAGAAAGAAAGGTGAGAAAGTGAACTAACCAACTACAATAACTGTTTTATTCAATCAGAATTTTCTCAACAAGAGCTAAGATTGTAGGCTAAAAGACTTGGAACATGTCTCAGTGAAATTCACACATCTTAATATTTGAAGTTGTAGATTGTTTCCTATCTCTACTTTGCCTTTCATAATTGTGTAGTTTACCAAATGAAAGGAAGCACCATATATATATTTACATTAACATGAATTGGGACTTACAGGCCCAATCACCATTGTGCAGTAGCTGAGGATACATGAGAGGCCTGAATTTTGTTCCTAGCCCAATCTAAACAGGCCAGGTGCGGTGTCACAAGTCTGTGATCCTCTGGTTAACTGGGAGGCAGGGGAAAGGAGATCTCAACATGGCAAGACTTTGTTAGGAATGACTAGCTTGCTCTTTTTCTCTCATAAATTTTTTAAAAATAAAATAAAGTTTCAAAATAAAGGAACTTACGGACACTGAAATGTTCACAGCCTGTTAATTTATCAATAGCTTTGTAAGCTTCTTCTGTCTTCAACATTTCCTCTTGTCTTCTTTTACTCCCTGGATCATTATTCAAAATCTTATTCCTGAGCCAGGTCAAATGATACACCCGAAGTCTGTTCTTACGGCCTGATAGATAAGAAAAGATACCATATTTCAATTCAGTCTTCTCATATACTAGAAGAGCAAAAAAAAAAATGGCATTTTTCTTTTATCTGTTTATTTTTTAGTTTTTGCAGAGGGTGCATGTGCTCACTGGAGAGAGATAGAGAGCAGGAAAGTGAGAAACCATCCCCTAGGGTAGATAACCATGCTGAAATCCCTTCTCCTTCATTATCCTCTGGAATTTTGGGCATGCATACACACATGCCCAGAGTATTTTTTAAGCTACTAGATCTGGAACTTGAACATCTAAGTCAGCCATGCAGAATCCAGTCAGCTTAACCAGCACACCACTAGCTGGCCTGGCATTTTTGTCTTTGCTGTAAAATGTTTTCATTAAAATAAAAAACATTTGTAAAAACCTCCATTGCCTCATAGACTCCCCTTCACAGTTTTAAAATGTAATAGCAAGATCTATTTTTGTCTCTCACTTGCAAGAGATAGTTGATGTGTCTACTCACCACCTGTGTGCCTATTTGAAATATATCTACAACTCTTCTTTGGGATAAGTTGACTGTTACTATGCAAGTAAATTAATTACTACACATTCATTTGACTTTGATATTTTGTTAAGTCATGACACCTCTGGTGTTCAGAAACCTAGAAGCTGTCCCTGGCAAATGTGTATGAGAGGGATGTCTAAGTATTGACTACTTAGAAATTCAAGGCTAGTAGGATGGGTCTCATTGTGTCCTGTCACTCTACAATGTTTACAAAATAAGTGGACAGTTTTATTATTTTTTCCCTCAACCCAATATATCTTTAATATGCATTTACTACTTATAAATCCCATCGAATTCTTATAATTCATTAAGGAGATACAGATCATTAAGAGCACACATTTCTCTTCCTAGTTTGTGATTTTAATATTCATTTTTCTTAGTCAATTTTAGGGTTTATTATTTCAAGGTTTCTGGGCCCCAAAATAAGATTCTTACTTGTGTGATCAAAGTTTAAAGCATTTTTATGTAAAGGTTTTGGAACTGTGTTAGACTTTAGATATCTATGCCTATGGTCATGCTATCCTTTTTATGTTTTTAAAGTTTTTGCCATAGGGCATGTATGCTCGCTGGTGAGAGACAGAGACACAGTGAAAGGGAAAGTGAGAAATCACCTCCTGGGGGAAATGCCCATGCCACACTCCCTTCTCCTGCATTCTCCTCTTAAGATTTTGGGCATGCATGCACATGCATATCCTGTGTGAATTTCCAAGTCTCTGGTCCAGGAATCAAATCATGGTTGGCCACCTGGGAATCCAGCACCTTAATCACAATGACATCTGGTAGCCCTGGCCATTCTATTCTTAAATGGTAAAATAAATTTATGCTTTAAACTATTGAGTATCTTCCTTTACTTATGTTCTGAGAATCATTTGTTGTAAAAAAGAGTTCACATTTGAGAGAAGTTTAACTTCTCTACTTTCTCAAATGTAAGCAGTGTGTAAAGACCAAATGAGAGGACTGAAATAGAATATAATAACTGAAGTTAAAATACACTTCAAAGTGTTGTGGGAGTCTGTCACCATAAACTGAGACATGGGAGACAATCAACCAAGTAATGTAAAATATGAGAAAACTTTAGTGTTTGCCTTTTATTTGGAGATTATTAATATTTGTGCTCGTGGGTATAAAGAAGGGTATATTTGAATCAGAGAAAGCTGAATAAAAGTAATCAGTTATCCAGAGGTAAAGTTTTTAAGTCACCCAGATATTTTAAAAAACTGAAAATTGTTTCTGTGTGGCTCAAACAATTATACACAGATGACAAAGAAACATGATTTCAAAAAATCAGGACATCCAAGCATGCTTATGAAGGTTTTTCTCCTTCAATCAAAACTATCTTTTTTTGAGAGATTTTTTTGCTACAGGGCACATGCGCATGCCAGACAGACAGAGAGAGACAGGGAGACAGAAAGCAAGAAATCGCCCTTGAGGGGGGATAGCCACACCACAATCCCTTCTCCTTTCTCCTCCCGGGATTTTGGGCACGTATGCACCCACGCCTGGCATGAGTTTAAGCCACCCGCGCCTGGTATGAGTTTGAGCCCCCGGGTCCGGGACTCGAACTGCCATCGACTACATGGGAGTCCAACAACATAGCCATTACGCTAACTGCTGGTACCCCTTCAACCAAAACTTAAATCAAAGTTAATTGTATTTAGGAATATACATAATCATTAGTGTATAACATGGCAAGCTGAGAAATATACAAACTCAAACAAAAGACTATGAGTAGCATCATCTTATTCTATGGTCAAACCATTCAAATCAATTTTTTTACTACTCTTCTTTTGTCAGTCATCTTTTGCCTATAGTCAGCTTTAATGTTTGTGCCTTCCTAATACCAAGTCCTGTTTAGTAATAACAATCACTATTCATACTCTTTTCCTTTTGCATATTCACAATCATGATATGTTCTCATACTTGATCTTTCTAACAGACTAAAACTAAGAAATTCAATTACTGTGTGGGGAAAAAAAATTTTTAGAGGTCTCTAGGGGATTCTTTTTGTTACTAACTCTATACATAAGAGCCCTCATGATACAGATATGCCAGAGAACAAGTTTCTCTCTCTTTTTTAGACAAAGTATTCCTAATTTACAATCTTGCTGACTCAGCTTCCTGAGTAGTTGGGACTACAAGCTTTTAGGGTGGGCTATGAATAGAACTGAGGCCTCTCATATGCCCTCCAGCATCAACCAGCATGAGCTACTGTGGCTGAGCCAGACAAAACTCTTTTTAGTTCAATAATTGACCACTTTGTTCTTCATTTCTTTTTTTTATCCTGTCCTCTTTTTTTTTTTTTTGAGAGGTTTTTTCTATAGGGCACGTGCGCTCGTCAGACAGAGACAGACAGAGAGACAGAAAGCGAGAAATCACCCCCCAGGGGGGATGGTCACAGCACAATCCCTTCTCCTCCATTCTCCTCTCAGGATCTTGGGCACGCACGCACACACACCCGGCGTCAGTTTAACCCACCGTGTCCAGGACGCGAATAGCAGTTGACTACATGGGAGTCCAACAACATAGCCATTATGCTAACCACTGGTTCCTGTTCTTCATTTCTTGTAACCCATCAGAAAAAAGGTATATAGTGGATGTTGGTATGATTATGTGTGCATGGGTAGATGAGAATTAATGCTGTGAGATTGTAGGAGGCTATCAGTAAAGAACCTGCAAGGATACAAATGGTGTGATTTTTCCTATCACTAACCTAGTACACTACAATCAAAGGAAGTTCATTTAAATTGTAAATAGATAAGAAAATACAAGTAGCGGGACCAGCAGGTGGTGTGGTGGTTAAGGTGATGGGTTCTCACATGGCTGTCCATGGTTCAAGTCCCAGACCTGGTGGCTTGAAAATCATGCCAGGTGCATGTGCATACATGCCCCAAATCCCAAGAGAATAGAGGATAAGGGATTGCAGCATGGACATCCCCCTGAGGGGTGATTTCTGACATTCCCTTTCTCTTTCTCTCTCTGGTAAGCACATGCACCCTATGGCAAAAAAAAAAAAAAAAAAAAACAAGAAAGTCTGGTGTCCCAATTAAAGGTTATATTTAAAGTAAAGTGTTCTCCAATGAACACTTTCACCTGAGAAAGTCTTTAACCCAGTTTGCAGCCTAATTAATCAGTGTAATTACTCAGCTAATTTTAGTTCTTAAACAAACCAGAGATGGTAATCAGCAAATTGAGTGGCTCCACAACTTGAAGCTGGAGGAATGGTCTTCGCTTTATAAGTTTAGTAATCTCTGCCTTTCCACTTCTGTCCATCAAGTACAGATTAGATCGTGTTCCCAACAGCAAATTGACTCCTGTTCATATATAAAAAGAAAAGTGCTATATTAGCCCAAATTATCTTTTGTAATTGTATTTATATTACTATTTTTGATATTACAGTGGGCTGATCTATATAAAGGTGACTTTTATCATTTTAGGCTAATTTTTTTTTCTTTTTCTTTCTTTTTTCTTTTTCTTTTTTTTTTTTTTTTAAGAGAGGTTTTTGCTATAGGGCACATGAGCTCGCCAGAAAGACAGAGAAACAGAGAGACAGAAAGCGAGAAATCACTCCTCCCCACAGGGTGGATGGCCACACTGCAATCCCTTTTCCTTCGTCCTCCTCTCAGGATCTTGGGCACACACACACATGCGCCCAGCAGGAGTTAAAGCCACCGGGTTCTGGACTCAAAACCACGGTTGACTACATGGGAGTCCAGCAACATAGCCATTACACCAACTGCTGGTCCCGTTTTTAGGCTAATGTTAACTTCATACTAAATAACTATGTACCCACCAACAGAATAGATTTTATTAAAATACATAAAAGTATAGAAGATAATTCTCTCTGGCAATATTCCATCAGCTGGTGTCTGGCGTGCTATCTCACATATAGAACTTTAGGGAACCAGCAGTTAGCGTAATGGCTATGTCGCTGGACTCCCACGTAGTCGACCGCGGTTCGTGTCCCGGACCCGGTGGCTTAAAACTCACGCCGGGCGTGTGTGCGAGCATGCCCAAGCTCCCGAGAGGAGGATGGAGGAGAAGGCGT